GGGTAGGAGACGTCAACCCGACACCAGCCTGGGAGGTAAGGGATGGTGGCTCAAGATCGAAATGGTTCTGAGGGGCAGAAAGGTGTTCATGAATAACCTCCCTGAGTGGGTTTCCTAGTGGACTATCAAAGACCACTTGAGAAACCAAGAATATTACATTTGTATTGCTGTACAGAGACTCAGACCCAGTGGCTGAGGTATGGTCAACTGTAAAGACAAAGCGACTGCCCTGAAAATAGTAGAGGCCATAGACTTTTTGGACCTCAGAAGGGGGACTTTCAGCAGGGGGAGCAGATGGAATGATCAGGAAATTCCCTGGGGCAGTAGGATTAGAGATGGGAGGTCCCTGAAGCCTTGGAGTTGTCAGAATGCCCCGGAGATCACAAGACAGGTATCCTGGGACCTATGTCAATAGAAACCCTCAACAAGAGATGGGGAAATCTGTGCCCACTGGCCTGAGATGAAGATTAGGGGGCACCAGGCAGCTGCTGGGCACCCCATGCCCTCCCTTTGCTTATCTGCTGAAGATAAGCAGGGAAGGTGTATAACAGAGAGCCGTGGGGCTCCCTGTTGCTGCAAGATGAAAGGAGCCCAGCCTGGGAGCTCTGCAGGCTAGGCAGAGTGTGCTAGGGGCCAGAAGCAGGCTCAAGGCTTAAGCAGTATTGAGCTGGAAGTGGGCAGAGAGTGCAAGGTGACAGGGCTAGGGGCCCAGCACCTGAGAGGGGCACAGTGAGAGATGGGAGCCAGGGGCCCAGCACCAGAGAGCAGTGCAGCCACAAAGGGCCAGGGGCCCACCAGATGGGCCATGGGCCCAGTGACCAGAAAGGACAAGCGAGAGTAAGTGCCTCAGAGCCAGGTCCAATACAGTGGGTTCAAGCAAGAAGACCTAACTATAGTAAGGGGCCAAGGCCAAGGAGGCCGAAGCCCCAACAAAGGGAACAATATTATTGTAACACCCACAGCCGACACCATAGTAAATACCTAACTATGCTAAAGGAGCGTGGTGTAGAGGACAACTTGGTGCCACACAATTAATCCTTAAGGCTTGTGGTGCCCTCCAGTGGCACAGTTATGGAGTGAGACCCAGCCAAGTCTGGTGAGGGGCCTGGGCACAGGCAGAGGCTGGCAGGGTCCAGGTGGGCTTAGGCCATGCAAAGGCCTGTAGACAGCCTCCCTATTTATTATAATACCATCAAGGTGTGGGCAAGATGGGAAGGCACCCTAGGGGTGGAGCGGGGCACGGTTGTGGAGCCACCGGGGGTTTCATGGCCGCCCTTGGGAGCCCAACGTCGTTACAGTGCTCTGCTTAAAATTGATCAGCTCTATTTTTGTCATTTGTCAAGAAACCCCAAATGAGTTATGAACTTCCCTGTGTTTTAATAACTTTTCTCTACTTTTACTTCATATAACAAAGCCTAATTATTAATACTTTTGCCTTTATTATTTAGACTTTCAAGCCTACCCTGATTTTAATTTAACCTAGCTTTTAACATCACTAAAATATATATTCTGTAAACTATAGTCAGTAAACAGTTTTATTTTTAGACCCTTTATGGGCAACAATGTCCAGGTTTGAGTACCCCTGTCAGCCCAAGTGGGTATAGCAGGGGCCTGTCGTACCTGGGCTAGGCCACTGTTATGGTGTGGACAAATCTTTTGAAACTGGTCTCCCCAGATCATGTTGGCAGGCATGTGGGAACTCCAGTCCGCAATTAACCAGCCATGAATTTAGGACAGGGGTGTCAAACTCATTCAGCCCCACAGGGCACACGAATGATACGGGGCCAGTCCACGGTTCAGGCCAGACCCACAGATTGGCCCCCCATTCTGGTCCTGATGGTCACCGCAGGACTGTCACCGCATGGCCCCAGAGCTGCCACCATGGGGTTTTGCCACATCAACTCGGAGCTCCCCCCACCCCTTCACAGGGCTGTGCAATACTGTCCCAGAGTGGTCAGGAGCTGCATTTGGCTGCTCTGGGGTTGTGCTGCATGTGGCAGTCACTCCACAGACCTTTGCATGGCCATTCAGCATACTTTGCATGCTGCCTACGGGTCACTCTGAGACCACAGGCAGCACTGGGGACTGGATGATATGGCCATATTTTTGACAATCCTGATTTACGACCTCACTCCCTAGAGTTCAGCCTGGCACCTTTCACCTATGCTTCAAAAATAAGAGAGGAACTGTATGCTTCCATATCAAGATGGCCTCAGAAAGTATTCTGTGATGCCCGTTGCAAAGAAGGGGTATCTGCTCAATGATGTCATTGACACTGCTGTTTCTAAAATTGCCTACTTCAGAAGTTTAACAACTCTCCTGTTGCAGAATATTATTCACTAAAATCCCTGTTTGTCAAAGTGCCTCCTCATCATTGAAGGTATAAACAATTAGAAAAAATTAGAATAGGTTTCTAATGTTCAGAGAAGTTAAGTTCTGGAACAGCCTTTGAAAAAGTCAAGAAAGGTAACTACTTCTAAGGTGGAGTTTGGTCAGTTAATGGAAGGGACTATATGACATGGTTTCATGTATTACAGGGGACTAGACTCAATGACTGATTCCCTTCAGTCCTATATTCCTTTAAAAAAAGTTAATGAAGCCATTTGTGAACAAGACAAGGGAAGGCAGATATAGCAACACATCAAGGTTTGCTGTTGTTACCAACCACTCTTGCCTGGCATCTGGAAATATCATATGCCACAAGTTATAGCTAAGAGATCAATAAGTAATGTAAGGCCCTGGAGCACATGAAACAGAATTCACAATGCTACTGAATGGTATTGTGAGCACAGACACAACTTGGATGAATTTTTCATTTGTTTCCCATGTGAGGAGTAGCAGAAAGGACACAAACTGGAAGCTTTGCCAGAGTGAAAGTCTACTCCGTTAACAGATAAGAGTTGGGACTGTGTAACAGAAGAGCAAATGTGAGATTCCAGATGCACTGATGTAGGTGAAAGAAATGAAACCTAAGAACATTTTTTGATAAACCTGAAGCTTATGTGTTTAACTTCCATAAACTTCATTCAAACTAAGTCTTAGGACAGATGTGCAATGGAGAGCTCAGGGAGACTGTTAAAAAAGAGAGGTGCTCCTAACTGTCTCTCCATTATCCTGCACCTTATGGAGCCTTTAACATCTGTGCAAAGGATATGCAAAATATTCCCACAACAGAATGACAGTGGTTTCTCTCTCATTGCTCTGGTGTACCTGACTGCACAGTGTGACACAGTATTAAGGAATTAGGTCCTTCATGTCCAAGAATGGAAAGCAGAATAGTTAAATTTAGGCATAAAGCTTCCAATTATTAAAATACAATAGTCTAGCCTTGAGTTGACAAAGGCATGTCTAATGGTGGCCAGATCTGAATCTGACAGAAAGGGTCACAGCCTCCTAACCAGATGGAGCTGTTGGAAGGTGATCCTAGCAGCTGCTGCCACCTAAAGATCCAAGTGCAGTGTGGGAATCAGGAGCATCCTAAGCCTGTGAACCTGAGTGACAAGGGAAGGCTGAACCTCCTCAATGATAGGTGTTCCAATCCCCCCATCAAGTCAAACTGTTATAATCATCATCACCTCTGTCTTGTTGGATTCAGTTTCATCTGGTTCACCCACATTTGGTGCTGCCAGGCACTTGAAAAGGACTAAGGCTGAGAGACCAAGGTCAGATGAGAAGGAGAGAGGTTTCATTAACATGCTGATGGCATCCTATGCCAAAACTCCAGACTGTCTCTCCCAGGGGTCACATATACAAACTGATTATGAGGGGCAACAAGACCCCATAGGATCCCACAGGAAAGGTAGAGGTGATTACCCTCACCATTCTCTGGGGCTTCCCCTTTAGTAAAAGGCGGAACCAATTTAGAACAGCCGTGTGACTATGCAGTCGTATATATTCTTTATCAGCACCCGATGTTCAACTGTATCGAAGGCCACTGAAAGACTGAGTAAGATCAGCAGGGCACAAATTGCACTGCTGATCTTCAGATGAAGGTCATCAGCCAATGCCATTACTGCAGTCTCTGTGCTCTATCCAGAACTAAAACCAGACTGACAAGGCTAATGGAAACCAGTGGAATTCATATCTACCTGGAGCTGTTGGCTTACCACCCATTCAAAGACATTCTGCAAAAAGGGGAGGTTGGAGATGGGCAATAACTGGATGGGCAAGCATCAAGCAATGGTTTCTTGAGAAGGGAGAGCTCATGGCAAAACTGAATTCAGTGTACAAAACAGAGCCACTTTTGCTCAGAAACTCAGCAGGGGGTGGTATCCATTTTTTACCCAGTGATCTACTCATCCACAAAGTGGGAGACTTCTATTCCAGGACCTCTTCAGCCTGAAGAGATTCAGACACACATCTCCAGCTTATCAGAGTGCCCTAACCATCAGGCTATAGAACAGTCTGAGTGGATACACTCCACTGTTCCTATTGAACCTGGGCCATTGTGAAGTCAAGAATACAAAAGTCATGGAGCTAGAACGAAAGCATGCGAATAAAAAGTGTGTCTTAATGTATTCAGAAGACCTCGTTTCTGCAGAAAAACTTACAGTTCCTCTTCAGGCAAATTTAAGAAGTTTGGTTTATTTGTGAAGTTATAGAACAGTTTGCTTACAGTTGAATTTAATTCAGGTGGATTCTCATTATCCAAACTGGCAGATTCTCCTAAAAATGAGTGAACATTTCCATCTAGTATCAAGCTTCTTCTCTCCCCCAATCCAGAACTTAGTTTCTTTGCTGAGGTGTTGTTGCTGCATGAGCCCACTGCTTCTTGGGAGAAGTGATAGTATTGTAGCTTTTTAGTCAGGGTCTGAATCAAAATCACTTGGAGCCCTGGCAGCTCCTTAGACGCAGTGTCTTTCTAATTTAGCTCCGTTCAGTTCTAGAGCAGTTTTCCAGTCTTAGAACTTAGAATTACACAGGGGCCAGGGGCATGTTATCAAAGTTGAGAAAATGTGTCAGTTTATCTCATTTTTTCTCCTCTGCTTCTCCTTTCCCAGTTTCCCAAGAGTCGTGTTTCCTGGATCTGGTGCTTAAGGTGATTATGAGTGAACAGCAGGGCCACGTGAACAGCCTATTCCTGAATGAGGACTCCACCAAGCAGCACAGCAGTGAGGGCTGGATTCAGCACTTCCAAAAGGCAGTGCAGAAGCGGACAGCACGGGCCAAGAAACGGGTGTCTACTATCACTAAGGACCATGCCAAGGGCTTTCTCAGGAGAAATGCTTTCGTCCTTTTCACCATCGCTGCTGTTGTACTAGGTAAAATACTGGGTTCGGGAGGCCTGCTCTGTGTTTATTGATCCCCAGCTATTCGTGCTGATTATAGAGCAACACTGTGGGGCCAGGAAATCAGGGTTCTGTTTCTCTGCCATAAGCTCATTCTGTACTTCTGGGGAGGTCACTTCACCTTTCAGGACCTCAGTTATGATTTGTGGCATTTAGAAACCCCAGTCCAAATTTTAGATTAGACTCCACTGTACTAGGGATTATTCACAATGAAGTCTCTTTAGCCCTACAGCTGGGATAATAATGGGAGCTAGGAATGTCACGTCTCACATTTTTCTAGTAGCAAAAGCCCCAGTTACACCAGCAAAAAGTCTGTTTGTTGGAATAGATTATTTCCTTTGGGAACTGGTAAAAGCCATATTAGAAAACATCTCCAGGATAAATGAGACCATAGTACTACCTGCAAAGTGAGGATGATGTGGAGGTATCAGAGGCTAAAGACAGACATAGGTTTCTCCTGTGACCAAGTCTTTTATTCTGGGATCTAAATCTTAAAAGCTCTTTGTCCCACTTTAAATACTTCTGAAGTACTGCTGAATTTCCCAACATAACACTTTTTTTCCCAGGACAATTGCAGCTAATCAAAGTTAATTGTCATTCAAGCTGCATATGTAAATGCTCTCCTACCCCCCTGCCTTCCTTTTGATGTGAATCAAAGCTGGAGATCATTAGACCCAGGACAAACCAGATGTCTGTTTTTAACCAGACATTGCCTCTGCAGTACTATGGTTTTAATTTAAGCACAGTTTAAGGGCCTTGTTACATGGTAATTTTGGGTGGCTCCTGGAGCTCTGAACCCCTAGACTGTCTGCACATTAGCAGCTGAAACTGGTCTGCACATTAGCACCTGGTTTTCAGCACTCATCATCATGCAGCTCAACATGATGTCCTCCAGGAGACAATTCTCTCTGATCCCTTCTACCAAGCTCCTCTTGCACTAAGATGCAGCCAGGCTAGGCTAAACTTAAGTGCAGTGATTTTTGACCTGTGGTCTGCTGACCTCTGGGGGTCTACTGACTATGACTAAGGGGTCCACAAAAGGTAACTGTGACCAATCAAAAGTATGTGAATACCTAAGCTTACAATTCAAATGGGTCCACAACTCCGTTCCAAATTTTTAGGGGTCTGCACATGAAAAAAGGTTGAAAACTACTGCCTTGGTGTAAACGCTCCACCCTCACCTACTGGCCCAGGTCAGGCCCACTTCTCCCCCCTCCCCCACCCTATTCACCCCAGATCCCTGCCCCCACTTGCCTTCTCCTCCTCCCTGCTGCCCCCCCTCCACCACCCACCTGTGCTGTCTGTCCCATGGTGCAGGCAGGGAAATGTTAGCCTGCCCATCCAGCTGACACCATTGCTGCTTTCTGGGCCAGGCAAGCAGCACCCTGGCAACAGCAGCAGCCAGACAGGTAGGTGAACCCTTTCCTGCCTAATTCCCTGGGATAGATAGCTTAGCAGCCATAAGTAAATAATGCTTCAGTGGCAGAGGGAGGCAAGGTAAGTGGAAAATAGGGGATTGGAACACATGACTTCTGAGGAGAGGCTGAGGGAACTGGGCTTATTTAGTTTACACAAGAGAAGATGGGGGGATTTGAAAGCAGCCTTCAGCCACCTGAAGGGGGGTTGCAAAGAGGATGGAGCTGGACTGTTCTCAGTGGTGGCTGATGACAGAACAAGGAGCAACCATCTCAGGTTGCAGCAAGGGAAGTTTAGGTTGGATATTAGGGAAAAACTCTCTCACTAGGAGGGTGGTGAAGCACTGGAATGGAACACCTAGAGAGGTAGTGGAATTTCTATCCTTGGCGGTTTTTAAAGCCTTGCTTGACAAAAGCCCTGGCTGGAATGATCTAGTGGGAGAGATGGTCCTGTTCTGAGCAGGGGGCTGGTCTATATCAGCATTTTTCAACCCGTGGGTCACAACCCAAAAGTGGGTTGCAAGAATATATGAAAGGGTAGTGAACAAACTTTCAAAAGGGATTCTTCTTTAAAGGAGAAAGACATGCGAAACCATGGCTTTTCCCTCACAGACTGGCAGAGTTCCAGCCTTCAAGGGGCTGCCAGGGGCCCCCTTTGCCCCACACAAACCCCACTGTGCCCCACACACCCACTTCCTGCCCTACACACTATGGGGCTGGGACCTGGGGACAGGGGGCAGTGGGCTGGGAGTGAGGGGCACTGGGTCGTGATTGGCCATTAGTGTTTACAAATTGGTCCTGGTACAAAAAAGGTTGAGGACTACTGGACTAGATGGCCTCCTGAGGTCCCTGCCAACCCTAATTTTCTCTGATTCCATGAACAGCGTGTGCCCCCGGCGGGTGGGGGGGCACAGCTGTGCCAGTGGTAGCAGGAGCCCAGCAGCGGTGAGTGGGGAGCTCCTGCAAATGCCACCAGCACTGTCAGCAGCCGGGGGGGGGACGTGGCAAGTGCTGACCAGTGGTCAGCGACTACCCGTAGGCACCACCGGCAGCAGCGGCCAGGGGCGATTGTGGACCAGCAGCGGGGTGGTGGGCGGCGACCGCCCACAGGCGCTGCTGACAGTGTCAATGGTACCTTTTTGCAGGGCGTGCACCACCACGCACAGGGGGTGCACGTGCACCCGCATGTACCCCCTACGTGTCACCCCTGTTTGATTCTATGACATCCTGAGAGGCAGGGTGGAGTCCCAGAGTTATAGGGAAACTGGGGGAGCCTGGAATAAGAGCGGCGGGTTACCGTTCAGTCCTTCAGACCCCTGCTGGCGTGAAGTGTGACTGTTCCAAACTCAAGCTAGCACTAATACCCATCGCTGTTTGTATGGCTCACAGTGTAAGGTGTAACAAAGCCCCAGGTGTCTGCCAGACTGACTGTGCCTCTGAATGCTGACATTCATAGAGGCAAGTTGGTCTGGTAGATACTTAAATTGCTGCCACACAGCCAGCTCCAGAAGTTGGATTCCTGAAAGCAATAATAAATCTTTTCATTACCACAGAATCTTTCAGCAGACACTCTGAGAGCTTTATAATTAATGCCCATCACCTGGAGCCTCTAAATCAAGAGTGAACTTTTCTATCTAAAAGATCTGCTCCAGCTCAGCTGCTGGAGTTGTGTCAATACAGGAATCATGGGATCAAATTTCTGGTTTGTTTGACATGGGCTGTCAGACTAGGTTATCATAGTTGTTGCTCCTAAAATTGAAATTCTTGCATTTATGAGCTGCATGGCTGTAATCCAGGAGAGCAGTGGAAGGTTTAAAGAGCAATACCATCCCTGCAACTTTCTTATTGAGCTCTGGCTGGCTAATGCATTTCCATAATCTGGCTTCTGTTTACCAAAGTATCTTAGGGCAGGGGTTTTCAACCTTTTTTAATCAAAGTACCTCTGGCAGCTGGACGTGGAACCCCAGTTGACAACCCCTGTCTTAGTGCATCTTTACACATGCTCTGGGGTGGGGTGGGAGGTGGGCACTTTAATTAGAGTGGTTCTTGGGAACTCCTATAATTAAAGCACTCACAGCATCTCATGTATTTAGCATCTCTGGCTTCAAAATGTTGGTGGGGGGCACTTTAGCTACAGCTCCTTCAACAAGCTTTAGTTAAAGCACCCCTGTTACCCTTTTGAAGCACAGGGATGCTGAATACACAGGATGCCAGCAGACTCAGTTAATCAATTCTGCTCCAACATGTGCTAAGTAGCATGCGTTAGAGCAAGCATCAGGCATGTGTGTAGGTACCCTTAAAGTTTACATAAGTGGTATCTAGTGTAATAAGAAGTGGTCCTGCAAATTCTAGGGAAAGCCATTCCCAGTCCCTGATACATTTTTTTTGCTACTTAGGAATTGTTTTTTAAGAAAGGGAGTGTTCAGAGAAGAGTTCCATTAACTTCCTTCCTAACTAAGCTAGCTAAAGGGGTTTGTTTCATCCTCCTGCCACTGAGTATGGTCATCTCCAATGTACATCTGCTTTAGACTACAGAGGTCTTCTCATTAACTCCCAGCAAGGCACGGGCAGGTAGGGGAGTGGGGCTCTAGATCTTCCAACTGTTGCTCTTTACAGAGCACTTCAGGTGTAGCTACTCCCAGATCATTCCTGACCAGTGGTTATCTAGTCTATTCTTCACTACCTCCAGTGATTGAGATTCCACAATTTCCCTGGGCAGTCTGTTCCTCACTGTTACAGTGAAGTTTTTCCTGATAGCCAATCCATACCTATCGTGCTGAAACTTCAAGCCATTGGTCCATGTCCTGCTCTCCGCAGCAAGAGAGAAAAGGTGCTCTCACTCTTTTTTTTGACAGCCCTTCAGGTACATGATAACTGCTCTTTCCTGGGTCAGGTATTGTTTAATATCTTCATTAATGATTTGGACAATGGAATTGAGTTCATGCTTCACAGATTTGTGGATGACACCAAGTTGTGTGGAATTGCAAACACTTCAGGAAAAAAAAGGTCTACAATGAATCAGATGAGATTCAACAAAGACAGTTGCAAAATCCTGTACTTAGAATAATTGCATATACAAAAAGAGACTAGGGAATAACTGGATAGGCTGCAGTACTTCAGAGAAGGACCTGGGAGTTCCAGTTGACCGTAAACTGAATTTGAGTTAGTAATGTGCTCTTGTTACAAAAAAGGCCAACATCATACTGGGAACATATACACGAGACACTTTACTGTGCAGTACAGCTAATTACTGTGCACTAAGAGTCAGCATCTACATGTGCAGATGCTTATTGTGCAATAATTAGCTCTAATCACAAGTAAACTTGCTACCTGTAAATGCAAGTAGCAAATTTACTTGTGATTAGTAACTGTGCAGTAGCACATGTATAGATGTGTGACCCGGAGCAACTGTGCTCCCAAGCAGCAGGGGCGAGAGATTGCTTTCTGTCCCAGGGAGCTGCTTATTGCCCGGGCAGGCTCCGCCACTGGAGCCTGAGCTGGGACAATGTCCCCCTGCTTGGCAGCAGGGAGCTTCCAGCCCCTGATCTGTGATCATGG